CCATGCCGACACTAAGCCGACTGTGCGTTACTGGTGGTGTATGACCGACATAAAGACCCTTGTCAACTGGGGGCGGGGGCATGATCAGAGCGCAGGACCCTCTGGCCGGCATTGTAGTCCCCAGCCCTGCGGCCGGGGCCCCCCGAATGCTCCTTCCGGCTGGCCTTTCGAGCCTTCCAATCAGGCCCTTAATCGTTGGTTCCGAGAGGCCCTGAGGGCCCCTCGGAATCTAAGGAGGGGAGCACTGTGCCCCCTGTTTGCTCTCCTGCCTGTGCCACGAACCACGGCGACAAGAACAGCAATGTGTTCTACGCAGGTAGCAAAGCTATCCCTATTGAAATGTTTGGCATACAACGATAATATCGACTAAGTCGTTTCGGTTTCCTTTCGTTATATATATATATATATATATATATATATATATATATATATATATATATATATATACCTACATAAATTGGTAAAGTCAGTCCAGGTGGTGCAGGATAGATCACGCTGTCTCATTTTCGGACATGCATTCTTCGAAGAAACCCGTATCATTGAGAAAAGCAGCATGAGCGCAGCAAACCAGTCGATCAGACATCGTACCTAACACAAAATCTACTCCTTCACGAGATGTCACCAGTTGGCACGCTAACATACTTACGGACTAACTAAATATGACACAGATTACAATTTTTCAGCCCCTGTGACTCATAAGCACGTGGCTATACACAACAAGCCCGCATGTAGAGGCATTTTTCACAGCTTGCCAACAAGTTGCACGTGCCTGTTTTGAAGTGAGTGACCGCGGCGCACAGTAGCCGGGCGAAAGAAGCAGTTCCTTTTTCAATGTCGAAGCCTTCTCCCTGAACCCATTAGTCTCTACCACTTGCCAACTCTTTAGCAAAAAACATGGGCTTATCTTTTGCAAGGACCAATCCTTTTAAGCATGCTCACATTACGAATGTAATTTCCGTTTGGGTTAGTCTATCACTGCTCATAACTTGTAGGCTGGTGAGATGGCCGTCGTGGGGTGAGGAGGCGCCTGGAGAGCTGGACCCCACCCAGAGCTGGGCCCGACGTTTCAACCGCGCACGATCTGCTCTTAGTAGAGATGGGATTGGCAACGCGACCAGTAAAGTCGGCCGCCTCGATCGTCAGAGAATATGGGCGAGCCCTTTGCGATTCAATCAAACGACAAAGAAATAACGTTCGCCTGCCGTTGAAGTAGACATGAATCAAAACAGTGAGCCGGAAAACTTTCATGTTTGCAAACATGATATGCGCTACGTTCGTTTTCAGTCAGATGTGGAGCTCAAAACAAAATAAAAGGCGTATAGATAAAACAGCGTTCTTAGCCTTACTTCTCGTGCAATAAGCAGAAGAAAGAAGAGCTTGACATTTTAGCTACATGCATTTATATTTCGGCCACATCCATGTGTCGAAGCGAGTGTGAGTAGCAAACTCAAAATTCAAAGCAACCTGCCGATCCCACTTGACTTCACCTTTTTTTAACAGCGAGCCACTGTTTTCACAGTCAATCAATATTCAGAGGATTAACCAAGAAGCAATTCCCAGTTAAAAAGTCGCAATAGGTATCTAAAAATTAAGATGCGTGGAAAGCGTGTCTACATCAGTGATGCGCATCCCGCATCACTTACACATGCAACGATTTCAAGTAAACAGGCATCGCGCATGACACATCACGCATCATTCACACATGTACACGATTTAAAGCTAGCACGCGCCACGCAGGAATGTATTAATCACGTTCACCGAATCGGCCATGACAAGGCTTGTAGGGTCTGGTTGCCAACATTTTTTAAGAATGGATTCTCTTATTTTCCTCCCTGGCTGGTCCTGTGCTTTGTGTGACTTTGAGCTCTAAAAGGGTTCTATGGTCCGTACCTCCGGATTTCAGCCCAAGTGTATTACGCCAAAAAATGGTCACAGAAAGAAATATTATCTGTGTTGTTCTCAGCGACCGGCTGTTCCTTGCATCTCAAACGAATAGGGCACATGGCCTCCCTGGGCGCATGGAGTCGGCAGGCAATTTGAATTTTGAATTTTGTCGTCATTTTTAATTTTGAATTTACTACTCATATTCGTTTCGATAAAGGCATGGAACCGAAATAGCAAAACATCTGTCTATCCTTTTTTCTGGTAAAATAAAAACAGGCGTGGCCTGGAAGAATAACAATGCGCCAAACAGTATCCAGTGAAATCTTCCATCTCGAAGCCAAGTGCTCGGGGGGGGGGGGGCATAGGCGTCATTTATAGAAGTTTGTGTTTGAAGGGGTTTGCACACAAAAACCTTGTTTACGAAATAAAATGCGAACTGTGTGAAAAACATGGAGGGACATGGTCTATGTCAGAGAGACCATGTGCCCTGTTCGTTTGGGATGCAATGAATATCTGCAAGACGCTAACAACAGAACAGAACACCTCTTTTGGCATTTTTTTTGACAAAACACACTCGGGCTGAAATCCAGAGGCACAAACCATTAACTCTTTGAAAGCTCAGGGTCATGCACAGAGCTCAGAATCATTCAGACAGGGAAATAAGTGAACCCATCTTTAAAACAAGTCGGCGATCAGACCTACGCGTTCAGGGCTCATCATGACCGATAATAATATATTAAGTGCCTTAATGCGTGAAGCGTGTTAGCTTAATATCGTTTACACAAGTGTTTGGGTTCTGACCTCGCTAAGCGATGAAGCGTCTATGGACAGATTGTGTTTGGATTATTTCAGGATGCATTCAAGATCATTCATGGAATTCCATGGCTGATCCGAGCTCTGTGGCTGCCGTAATTCCTGACGGAAACCGGTTGTGATGTGCTCACCACCAGGGGCCTTGAAATCATGCTCTCCGCATTTCCACTGCGGTGGGAGTGCTGTAAAGCATTCCAAAAGCCCAAGAAAATGGTATTTACTACCACTGCGAAGGTCAGATCTCCTTTGTTCTGCCACTGCCACCTGTCAATGCTGCTGTAATTTGTACTCTAGAACACACCCCGCAGGCCAGTAGGAGTGCTGCTTTGCCGCGGCAGTGAGCTTCGCTGAAAACTTGCTGCTCTTCCTGGGTCCTCTTGTCACACCCGTTGCTAGTTATTCTTCACTTGATGTGTGTGGTTTCTTTGGAACTTCACAAAGCAATCGGTTAGAAAATGCGTTTAATCGTAACTATGGCTCACTTTTTTCGCCGCAGTGAATAAATGAATGAATGAATGACGGCTGTCGGACAGGGGCAACACACGCCGCGTGCGCGTTTCGTCATTTTACTTAAAATACTAACCGCCGGCGACTGGGCGATCAACCGGTGGTATTTTAGGTACTCGAAAATGTGGAGTTGCGACTTTTAGGGCGACCTTAATGCATGCACGGGTCAGTGCACACACTGGCCAATAAATGAGCGGTAAATACAGAAAATGAATCCGTGCCCGCGATGATGTAAAATTACCCCGGGCCCTGATTACAGTCTGGACGGTAGCGTGTTGTATTCCGTGCTGTTATCCGAATGCCGACATTCCTGTCTTACCGGACAAATGCTGGCAAAACAGTGCGTCGCATGATGTCGTGTCGGCCAAGTGAATTGACGACGGTACGTCCGTCCGCGCTTTGAAATTCGACTCACGCCTCCACCCACTGGCTACCGAAATACAGTATAACTCCGTGGAAAACTGTAAAAACGGGCTAAATTAATCTTGGCGGCTTCGGTACACGTAACACATGATTCATGCGACCGCACGTGTCACGTATGATGAATCATGTTTGTTGACATGCACGAATCAATGTATATTTACATGTATGAAACAATCGTAAACCAATCGATTACAGGCATGACTGATGCCTGGTGCGTGATACGCAATGCCTGTTTACGTGAAATCGTTTGCATTATGAATGATTTGTAATGACAATGCCCGTTTACTTGATTTTTTGCATGTACACGTATTTTTCCCGCACTTTAATTATTAGTTGGATACACACTGCATCGTGTTAATGGCTGTCAATTGCTATTTGTTTAATCCCCTGAGTGTAGGTGACGGTGAATGTTGTGAAAACAGTGACCCACTGTTAAAAAAAGACTGGAAAATCTGGTGGGAGCCTATCGGCAGGTAGTTTTAAATTTTTTATTTACTTACTTTATGCGTTTCGATAAAGACATGTCATTGAAATATGAAATATGCATCTTTATCTCCTTTCTCCAGGTTATTTTCCAAGGAATCAGGTAATTGCACTGCTTTTATCTATACGCATAGTGTTCCTCGCAAATGCAATTAACAACTTACCCAGTAAAACGCCGTAGACTCCTTTGCACGGATTAAAATTACCAAAATCGAGATGTTGTTTGATATTCCGCTAAGCTATGCTTCTATCTTCATTTTGCGACACTGCATATCAAAACCTGCTTTAAATTTTCCACGGCGGTATCGGTAGCCAAGTAAGATATCCGTACGAACTAACCTTCCGCACAGCATATATTCGCACCAAACAGCTTATTGCGCACACGACTGGTCCATACCCAACAGATAATTTTCTCGGTGACATATTTCACTAATGCGCCCAAGCCGCACACCCTCGTCAATGTCGCTGACCTGGGGTCCCGTCAATGCCGCTGACCCGGTGTTCACGGAGCTCACTCAACTGAGTCACTGGCTCACCGGACCTCGGTGGTGGGCACTGGACGGGCGGTGGGCGCACTGAACTGAGTCACTGGCTCACCGGGCCTCGGTGGTGGGCATTGGACGGGCGGTGGACGCACTCAGCACACATCGCTACCCTCGAACGCCACCCGCGCCGACCACACGGACACGGCTAGGGTATGGGATTGCACGGAGCTGCGCCAGCGCGCCGGACGACAACACATCACCGTATCACTCGCTAGCGCCGTAACAAAATATCGTTTCAGCCTACAAAAGCTAGCGACGTCCGGCGCGTCGCTCAGCGACCAGCCGCCGCAGGGCAGGTCAGGTCACGGGAGGACGGGGCGGCGCGAACGGGCGCCGCTCCCGGCGCTATACTTCCGTGCCGTCTGCAGCCGACTCCTCGTAGCCCTCGTCAGGACTTTCGTGCAGGCTCGAGTGGGCCGCTGTCACGTGGTCACTGAATTTGTTGACGGGCCCGCAGGCGGGCGGCGGCGGCGGCGGCGGCGGGGGAGGAAGCCCGTCCGGCAGCCCGCTAGTGTTGGGGTCACCCCGCCGCCGCCGCGTCACCTGGCTGTAGAGCGGCGCCTCGTCGTCGGTGAAGCCCTCGGGCGGCGCCAGCGGCGGTGGGCTGTCGAGCGGGTCGGCCGGCGGGCTGGGCAGCCCGCCGGATAGCCCACCGGCCGCGGCTACAGCAGCCTGCAGTGCCGGACCCTCGCCCTCGCCCTCGCCGCACCGCCGCTCCGGCTCCGCCGACCGCCGGGCCGACGACGAGGTGCGCAGCGGCGGCGGCGGCCGCGGCCGGCAGGGTAGCGGGTCCATCTGGAGAAGCTCGGGCGGCGGCGGCGGCAGCCCGTGCCGCGGCCCGTACTGCGCGCTGGAGTCGGGCCGGTGTCGGCGGCGCGGCAGGCTGCGGTATGCGCCAGATGCCGTCGCCGGCCCCGCCTAGCTGCTGATGGTAGGAGCGGCTGCGACCCATGGTGCCGCCACGCGGCAGCCCGAACTCGGCCGGGTAGCCCTGGTGCACGTCCACGTGTACGAGTGGCACCGGCTCGTCCGGTCGCCAGACGGGGCCGAACCGCGCCGCCGACCGGACCGGCTCGTAGGCCGGCTCCGTCTCCAGCGGAGCTCGCCTCCCGGTCGGCTCCGTGTCACTCACCACGTCCGGGTTGCTGTCGGCCGAGCGGCGCGACGGGCTCGTGCAGCAGCGCTGGCCGATGTAGGTCACGTGCTCGTGGCAGTCAACGAATGCGCTGCCGCCGCCCGCCGCACGCATTGACGCCGTACCCATCTGGATTGTTTTGGGCATGGAGCACGTGCTGCTAGGCGTGTCGACGCCCGCGTTGACCACGCCCGCCTTGCCGGGCGCGGCGGCGTCGCGGCGGCGCCGGCGCGCGCAGCGCAGCACCACGATACACACCAGGATCACGAGCAACACGACGAGGAATATCAGTGACGCACCGACGGCGGCCACGTAGCTGGCTCGCGCTGGCGGCGCCGACTCGCTGCTGCTGCTGCCCGGTGGCAGCAGCACTCGCAGCGTGTAGTTGGAGTCGGAGACGCCGGCCTCGTTGGAGGCACTGCAGCGGAACACGCCCTGGTCGGCGTCGGTGGCGTTGACGACCAGCAGCTGGCTGCGGCGCAGGCGGCCGCCGTCCTCGCTGTACTCGCTGATGCTGTACGGCCGGTAGAAAAGAGCACCGCTGTCTCCCAGGGGCTGGCCGTTGAAGGACCAGGTGACGTTGGCCGGCGGCTCGGCCCGCACGCGGCAGTTCAGCGTCACGTTATGGTCCTCGGGCACCTTGAGCTCCATAGACGGCGGTGACACGTCCGGCAGGCAGGCCAGCTGGCGCTCGGCGGCGTCGCGAATGACGCGGCCGGCGAGGCGAGGCGGCGCGGCGCACTGCGGTGCCACTGCTGGCGGCACTCGGTACAGCACCAGCCAGCGGCGCAGGCTGCGGAGATGGCAGTCGCATTGCCACGGGTTGTCATGCAGGTCGACGCCGTGCAGGTCTAGCGAGAGACCCTCAGCGTCGAGCTGCGTCAGCCGGTTGCCGTCGAGCCGCAGCCACTCGAGACGCCCCAGCGCGGCGAACACGCCCGGCTCGATGGTGTCCAGCTCACAGCGCGACAGCTCCAGCGTGGTCAGCTCCTTGAGGCTGGCGAAGCTTGCGCGCGACAGCCGCCGGATCGGGTTGCCGCTCAGCGAGAGTCGCATCAGCGACGGCGTGTCGCTGAACGTGCGACCCGGCACGGCGGTCAGGAAGTTGTCGCTGAGGTCCAGCTCCACCAGGTTGGTGAGGCCGAGCAGCGCGTGGTCGTCCACTTCTTCGATCTTGCAGCGCGCCATGTAGACGCGCTGAAGGTTCGTCAAGCCCATGCGCTGGAACTTCTGCACGGGCACGATCTGGATGTTGTTGCCGGACACGTCCAGCACCTGCGTCGACGCGTCCATGTGGCCGGGGATGGTGAGCAGACCCTCGTCAGCGCACTCCACCGTCTGCTTGCCGCCCTTCCATCGGCACTCGCAGACGGCCGGGCAGTCGGCGGCGACGCTGGTCGCCAGGCTCATGGCCAGCAGACGCAGCGCCCAACGGTGCGCGGCCATGGGGTCTAGAGCCGGCCGTCACCACCACCGTCAAGCCGTCGGCAGCACATGATCACGACAGACCACAGCGACGATGGCCGCGTAGGACGCTGATCGATGCAGAGCGCAGTGGATTTGCCTCGCTACAGCACGTGCTGTTCTGTCACTGGGGGCCTCCTCGCCACTGCAGCCGGTCACGGTCGGTCCTGAATCGTTTATTGCGGCCTCCCGAATGGTGGCGATTCGGCTCGGTCAAACCATCTGTAAAGACAGAACTGGGGTCAGACCAGACGGTGCTGGCAGGGGCTGGAACTACGACGGTGTTACAACATTTCCGAAAACGTCTCGAACATGTTGCCTGTACAGGTTGCTACATGCGCGGTTAGAGATAACAATGATATTGGGTGACTCCTCCATTCGTTGTAGGTGATATAACAAACCGCGAACCGATGCTCCTTGTTTGAACGATACCCATCGGTCATCGAAGCCACAGTCAGCTGTTTTTTGTTGCTGTTTTTTTTTTGTTTGGAGGGGGGAATTCCAATGAACCGCTTGTTCTCAGACCAAATGGACGCGTACCATAAGGCCGCACCAGTTTCCATTGCAGAGTCTTTCGCCTTGGGTATGCGTCATAAAAGTGATGCAAGCGTAAGTCCGGATGCTACGGAAAATATGATTTCTATCCAGCTGATACTTGGGCCATGATGAGCTGAGGCAAAGTCGGTTTCAAAAATACTTTACGTGTATCTGCTAAAGCTTACCAAGTAACTGGTAACATTGCGGCTCCATGACCACTTTACCAAGCGAATTCATGTAAGCGTTTGTCCGCGATGGTATCAACATCATACTATTTTGCGATGGCTTCTCGCATAAGACATATATGCTGATGAAATACCCGTTGTTATGAGGCAACATGTGCAACGATGTGCTCCGAACCGTGCAAGAAGATGACGTGTGGGTCGATGCAACTGTCACTTCGACAAGCGAACAGCACACACACCATCCAGTTCGCACGGACAAGCGTGCATTGGATGTTCAGCTCGCCGTCGTGGCAGTGCGCTTGTTGTCCCCCTCCCTTTCCGGAAATGATTGCGCTGGCCCGTTCTTTGTAGAGCATGAGCCACGTATTTTTCCCATTTCGCGTAACTGAGAATACGAGGAAGACTGGGGCATATCATATTTGGGCGTGTTGGATTTTCTGAAACCTTTTTTTTCAAATGTATTTCAATACCAGCAGGCGATCGCAGAATGGCAGGTTGGTTCCAGCCAGCTTCGTGGAGCTAGCCAGACGACACTGCACGAATGAGGCCAGCAGCCCCAGTCCCGACAAGTTTTCGGCGCTCACCTAAGGTGAAAGCCTCACAGGAGCCGTCGGCTGGCGCCCGGTGTGCCGGCGCGGGCCAGGGGCGAGAGCTTCCACCCCACCGCCCCGACACGAGCCGTCGGCTAGCGCCCGGTGTGCCGGCGCGGGCCAGGGGCGAGAGCTTCCACCCCACCGCCCCGACACGAGCCGTCGGCTAGCGCCCGTTGTGCCTGCGCGGTCTCATTCGAGGAACGCGCGTCCAGGGCCCGGTCGAGTCGATAGGTTTGGCCGACGGCGCCGTTTGCAGGCCGGCGACACGCGATGCAGCGCCGGCGCCGGCTGGACCGACGTGGGCGACGGTCCGGCCGGCGCCGGGGTCAGCGGGGTCACCAGCGACTCCGCCTCGGGAGGCGCCGCACGGGCCGCGCTGATGGTAGGCCCGAGCACGGAGCGGACAGGTCCCGTCAGGCAGCGTAATCTGCCGCTCGATGCCTGCTTTCTCAGAAGCATGTCGGAAGCTTACGGTGTTTATGGTATTAACATGTCCTGCGGAGATTTAGATCGCTTGTTTTGTTTCACCAGCAAGCTTAAAAGGGAATGCCCCACCTTCGGGCATATTTCAAAAACATGCTCTGGTAAAACCTGAGGGTAGCTACGTCTGATAAAACGACTGCGTAGTGCCAGTGAATCACCATCATCAAGTCCAAATTACGCCATTAGCGCTTTGCAAAAGCACTTCACTATTTCCCTAGCAGCTACAGTTGCTGCAACCGCCGTCGTCATGACGATCGCCTTCGTTGTGAATGACGTCACTACAAATGGACGTTTGTGATACGCACAACGGGCGGCAAGGGCCCGTTACCGAGAAACAGCATTGCAGGAGTGGTGCTCTGGCAGTGTTATCCCACCTCATTCCTGTGGCGTTATGGCGAGGAACAAAGTCAGGAAAACTGCTCGAAGGGCGCCGCTTATCAGCGTCTTGGGCGCGGCCCGTGGGTTGGTCAAATCCCGGCACGCCATTGAGGAAGACTGCAGACGATTGCGGTTCCCAGTTCATGACCTTGGGGCGGTAGCGTCACGCCGATGGCGAGGACGGCTCAAAGACGTCAGGCTTCAAACCCCACACCGTCCTGTCGGCGGAAATAGAGGGTAATCTAATGGATAACCTGGCGTCGCGAGCAAATTCAGCCACGCACTGTCATGTCACGAAACAAAAAAACTGGACTACCAGTTCGAGGTCCGCAACAGCATTCGGGTTTCAGAATATGGGATCAGAAAATATGTGATAGGCAAGGATTGGCTTCGCTCTTTCATGAGCTGTAAATCCCATCTCGGCATAAAGAAGCCACAAGCGGCCAGCTTGGCCTGCCCCACCAGCTTCAACTCGGTTACCGTCGGTAACTTCTTCGACCAGCTGGCCGGGCATAAGTTTGAGCTGATGACTGTTTGGAACGTGGACGAAACGGGTGTCACGACATGCCAGACTCCACAAAGAGTAAGTGTGGAACAAGAGTCGAGACAAGTGAGCACGGTGACATCAGCTGAAAGGAGATCTTTGTTCACTGCCCTTGTGGCAGTAAATGCAGTGGGAAACTCCTTCCACCTCGTTTTATATTTACACGGGAGCACTTCCGCCAGGATTTCTTCAATGGTGGACTAAAAGGCGCCGCTGTCCCAGCCAATCCGTCCGGATGAATGACAGAGAATAAGCCCATTTTCTACATGCAGCAGTTTCATGGCGTTGAAAATGGCGTCTTCCATGGCGTCCACCCCAGAGAAGCTGTGCCAGCTGACACTTGACAACCACCTATCACATGTGTCATTCGAGATAATGGACATTTGCAAGGTGCATGGAATCGGCATGCTGACGATTCTACCCCCTAGGTCCCATCGACCCCAACCTCTAGATTGTACAGTGTATGATCCGATGAAAGCCTGAGTGAACAGGCTTGTGATGCATGGATGCGGAGTCACCCAGACCGCACGATGTCTATATACGATATTCCAGGTGTTGTGAAGGACGCTCTACTGAGCGCGCCTAGTGTTGGCAACATATGTAAGGGTGCAATGGGATTTACCCTCACAATCGTAACGTTTTTGACAATGAACTTTCCCTACCCAGCTCAGTTGCTGATAGCCCATTCCCACAAACCGTCGTCTCTAAAGGCCTTAGTCAGCTGGCCCAGAGCGGAGCGCCGGCAGACTCCGGTCAGCTGGCCCCGAGCGGAGCAGGAACAGGCTCCAGGTCAGCTGACCCCGAAGGGATCGCCGGCAAGCTCCGGTCAGCTGGCCCCGAGCGGAGCAGGAACAGGCTCCGGTCAGCTGACCCCGGAAGGATCGCCGGCAGGCTCCGGTCAGCTGGCCCCGAGCGGAGCAGGAACGGGCTCCGGTCAGCTGATCCCGGAAGGATCGCCGGCAGGCTCCGGTCAGCTGACCCCGAGCGGAGCAGAAGCAGGCTCCGGTCAGCTGACCCCGGAAGGATCGCCGGCAGGCTCCCGTCAGCTGGCCCCGAGCGGAGCAGAAGCAGGCTCCGGTCAGCTGATCCCGGAAGGATCGCCGGCAGGCTCCGGTCAGCTGGTCCCGAGCGGAACAGAAGCAGGCTCCGGTCAGCTGACCCCGAGCGGAACAGAAGCAGGCTCCGGTCAGCTGACCCCGAGCGGAGCAGAAGCAGGCTCCGGTCAGCTGACCCCGAGCGGAGCAGAAGCAGGCTCCGGTCAGCTGGCCCCGAACGGAGCAGAAGCAGGCTCCGGTCAGCTGGCCCCGAGCGGAGCAGAGGCAGGCTCCGGTCAGCTGGCCCCGAGCGGAGCAGGAACAGGCTCCGGTCAGCTGGCCCCGAGAGGAGTCCGATTTTTCCTCCCCCTTGACTACAAAATGTGTGAGGCTAGGTCAATGTCTGGCCGTACTAACTAGGCAAAAACTAGGCTTGGAAATAATACTTCCGGGCACTCTCAAAATGTGCCAAAGCACTGCGTACTGTACGCTTCTGCAAACCAGCCAAACTACCCATACGCGCGGTGGTGTCTCAGAAATGGCCGACCCACTGAAAGGCCCGCTCAATCAGCATACCACATGAGCTACGAATTTGAACACGCATCCGTAGTCAGGAATAAATTAGATGGATTGTTATAAGCACTTGAGTTTCCCATCCAATATCACTTAAATCATCTCCTTGGTTATTCAAAACCCTCAACAATTTATGTCAGGCAGGTTCCATTATGTTCTGAAAATAAGCTGGAGAAATAGCGAGAGATCTGAGTCTATGTTAAGTAGATATCCGACTTAAATGCCCACAAAACTCGGCGGGGAAAGTTGAACGTGTGATCATATATGACCAAGGGCGTTGATAACCAATGTAATAAGAAGCTTTGCTACCGAATGCCATAGACGATATATATATATATATATATATATATATATATATATATATATATATATATATCTCTCTCTCTCTCTCTCTCTCTCTCTCTTTCTTTTTCTCTCTCTCTTTCTAAAGAGTTTGCCGTCTTAGGCGATCAATGCCAGGGTCGGTCCGTGCCGCCTCGATACAACGGATATGACTCGACTCGACTCGACTCGACTGTACTGGACTCGGCGACCCGACTCTGTATCGACTCTTCTCGGCGTCGCTGCAGACTTCTGCGAGCTGGGACTTGCGTGTGGGGGGGGGGGGGGGGGGCAGCTCGTCGCAGCACTGACGACTCCGCTTTTTTGGCGAAGCTCACCACCGATGTATGCCGTCTAGGCAAATGGACACACAGATGGCCGCATTCGACCCGCTGGTGACCGGGTGGTTCGAGGCGGGAGCGATGTAAGTGCAAAAACGCACGGCAAGCTCGACGCACGCCACTGCGACGTCAAGTCGATGTCCTCATTACGGTACCATTGTGTTTAAGTGTCATATTTTGCATCAGCATAACGCAACTGAGCCAACAGCCGCCACTAAGGTAAAATAGGCTGA